AATTGAACTATTTTTATCATATACTATATTTTATTTTTAAAATTTACTTTATAAAATAGAGGTGGGGTGGTCTCACTATGTTGACCTGGCTGGTCTCAAACTCCTGGCCTCAAGCAATCCTCCTGCCTCGGCCTCCCAAAGTGTTGGGATTAGAGGTGTGAGCCATCACACCTGGCCATATACTGTATTGTATTTTATTTTTTGTTTTTGAGACAGAGTCTCATTCTGTCGCCCAGCTGTAGTGCAGTGGTGTGATCTCCCGGGCTCAAGCGATTCTTGTGTTTCAAGCCTCCCAAGTAGCTGGGACTATAGGCGCCTGCTACAACACCTAGCTGATTTTTGAACTTTTAGTAGAGACGGGGTTTCACCATGTTAGCCAGGCTGGTCTCAAACTCCTGACTGCAAGTGATCCACCAGCCTCGGCCTCTCAAAGCCGAGGATTAAATTAAATCCCAGCCTCTCAAAGCGCTGGGATTATGGGTGTGAGTCACTGTGCCTGGCCAATATACTTTATTTTATTTTATTTATCTATTTATCTTTTTGAGATGGAGTCTTGCTCTGTCATTCTGGCTGGAGTGCAGTGGTGCAATCTTGGTTTCCTGCAACCTCCACCTCCCAGGTTCAAGCAATTCTCATGCCTCAGCCTCCCAAGTAGCTATGATTACAGGCACCTGCCATCACGCCTGGCTAACTTTTGTATTTTTAATAGAGATGAGGTTTCGCCATGTTGTCCAGGTTGGTCTTAAACTCCTAACCTCAGGTGATCCACCTGCCTCAGCCTCTCAGAGTGCTGGGATTACAGGCATAAGCCACTGCACCCAGCATCAATATACTATATTTTAAATAAGGCATATAAAGTTAGTCACAGGCAATTTTCCCTAGATTTAATTAATGTGCTTTTTCTAGTGCCACTGCATTCCTATTATGAATGAGATTCTTCTGAGACCTTTTCCAGAGCTTTAGTGCATCACAGAAATTCATTGCTTTTTTTTTTGAGACAGTCTCACTATGTCGGCCAGGCTGGAGTGCAATGATGTGCTCTTGGCTCACCACAACCTCTGCCTCCCGGGTTCCGAGCAATTCTCCAGCCTCAGCCTCCCAGGTAGCTGGGATTACAGATGCGCAGCACCACGCCCGCCTAATTTTTGTATTTTTTAAGCAGAGAGGGAGGTTTCATCATGTTGGTCAGGCTGGTCATGAACACCTGACCTCGTGATCCGCTCGCCTCAGCCACCCAAAGTGCTGGGATTACAGGCGTGAGCCACCACACCCAACTAGAAATTCATGAAGTCCACTTTCAGTTTGTTTTCTGTTACAGGTTTTCTCTATCTTAGCCAGTTTGACTCCGCATGTACTTAGACTACCAATGTTAATCAAAGACAAAAGTTCTGTATGACTTTTTCCATCTTAGAGGCAGTATAGGATAGTGGTTTTTATTTTTATTCCTTATTCTTATTTATTTAACAGAGATGGGGGGGGTCTCACTATGGTGACCAGGCTGGTATCGAACTCCTGGCATCGAGTAATCCTCCCATCACCACCTCCCAAAGTTCTGGGAGCCACTGCGCCTGGCCAAGACAGTGTTTTTTCCTGCCTCAGCCTCCCGAGTAGCTGGAACTACAGGCATGGGCCAATATTCCTGGCTAATTTTTTCTGTATTTTCAGTAGAGATGGGATTTCACCATATTGGCCAGGCTGTTCTTGAACTACTGACCTCAAGTGATCCACCTGCCTCAGCCTCCCAAAGTGAAGTCTTTTTTTAATATATGAACTTTGGAGATAGTCCGAATTCTAGCCCTTCCACTTATATGTTAAGTACTAACTAGTCTTTTAGCATTTTTTTTTTTTGAGAGAGAGAGTCTTGCTCTGTTGCCAAGCTGGAGTGCAGTGGTGCGATCTCGGCTCACTGCAACCTCTGCCTCCCAGGTTCAAGCAATTCTCCTGCCTCAGCCTCCCAAGTAGCTGGGACTACAGTTGCGTGCCACCGTGCCCAGCTAATTTTTGTATTTTTAGTAGAGACAGGGTTTCACAGTGTTGATCAGGATGGTCTTGATCTCCTGACCTTGTAATCCGCCTGCCTTGGCCTCCTAAAGCGCTGGGATTACAGGTGTGAGCCACCGAGCCTGGCCATCTTTTACCATTTTAATCAACTGGAATGGGTTGCCTTCCTTCTGACTCTGTGTATTCTCTCTTTATGCAGTAGAAGCAAAAAGGAATTAGTCACCTAAGGTGTTTTCAAATAACCACCACCACCACAGCTTTTTCACCAATATAATAACAACAGTTGAAAGGTTTACTATGTGCTATTTTTAATGTTTTTTATGGGTTAATTCAATTAATTAGTTCAACAACCCAGTGAAGCAGGTGCTTTTTATTATCTGAAATTTACAGGCAAGGAAACTGAGGTTCAGAGAGGTTAAGTAACTTTTCCAAGGTCACACAGATAATAAATGGCAGAGGGAAGTTTTGGATGAAGGCAAGTCTGATTTCATAATCACACTCTTGACTACTTTAAAACTACTACTTTTTTATAATAAACTGCCTTAAGTAGGAAATTCCACTGTCATGTATTTATTCAAATCAGAAGGAATACTTTTCCAATACCTCCAAAGCAAAGATTCCCAGGCTTTAGGATTTCAAAGGCTATTACAATTTAAAAGAAAATTATGATAACCAATATAGATTTGCCACCTTTAAGATTTCATGAGAAAGGACCTTAAAAAGCAAACACCTCCAGTGATCATTTACTATTAGTGCAAAGTAAAGGACAATTTTTTTTTTTCTGAGACAGAGTCTTGCTCTATCACCCAGGCTGGGGTGCGGTGGTATGATCTTGGCTCACTGCGACCTTTGCCTCCCAGGTTTAAGTGATTCTCCTGCCTCAGCCTCCCAAGTAGCGAGGACTACAGGGGTGTGCCACCACGCCCGGCTAATTTTATTTTTTTTCCTAGTAGAGACAGGGTTTCACCATATTGGCCAGGTTGGCCGAAAACTCCTGACCTTGTGATCCACCCACCTTGGCCTCCCAAAGTGTGGGAGTACAGGTGTGAGCCATCGCCCCTGGCCTAAAGGACAATTTAATACCAAAAAAGTAGGGTGGACGTAATCTAGAAAGATAGCATTCGAATGCATAGGTATTCATATATTGTTCTTAAATTTCTCATTTTTCTGAGGAAAATATTTGAGAACATTTTTCTTCCACCTTCTTCCTAATAGCTAGGCTAAGCCATTTGCACTTAAACATAATAACAATTTTAGTAAGTTTTACTTGTCATCCTAGAAAGAAACTGTATCCTCCGATCTGGAGATTAACAGTGCTATTAACTAAAAGTTTTTGCTTTTTAATAAAAGGTGGAATGAAAGATCAGGATAATTTGTTCCAATATAGTGGCTGGAAGACTTCAGAGTCTGAGAGGTTTTGCTTAAAATCTTCTCAGTCTAGAAATTTTGAAAGATGAAATAAACAATTTTGGGAACTAGCATTTATTTCATCCAATGCATTAAAATAGTAATTATACTGCTGAAAAATGAGAGAACATTCCTGTTAAAACCCAAGTTTTTTTAATAGTGACAATGTAATAGGGTTTATGTTTCTTGTACCTTTGATTCCCTCCAGAATTTGAATGCCTGAGTGTTTTCAACAGGATGCCACATGAGTAGAAATCTACATATATGTGGAACTTGTGAATTTTTTTATTGCACCTTTTTTTCCCCCTTTTTGTGGAGAATGGGGTCTTCTTGTTGCCCAGGCAGGTGTTACACTCCTAAGCTCAAGCTATCCTCCCCTCTCTGCCTCCCTAACTGCTGGGATTACAAGCGTGAGTCACCATACCCAGCCATGAATTTTTTATTATAATGTGAAATGAGAAGCCTCAGCACTTACCATTTTTGAAATGGACTACAAACATGAATAACATATAAATAGAAACCTTATTTGAAACAATTTTCCTTTGTTAACAGTTTATTAGACATTGTTTCATGTTATAACTTTAGATAAATTAAATTTGAATATTACACAATTGTGTCAATTATCTTCAGCTTCAATTATAATTCCTAATAGATTCAAGCCTATTATCACGACCCCTGGTGGTAGTCTGTTACATAAGGTTAGTAAAAGGTCTGGGGTTTTTCTCCTAACAAACTTTGTTCTAGCTGATTAGACTGAAAGTAAGATAGATAACTCTCTGGCAGATCCTGCGGATTGGATGCCTGGGTCCTAAATTTCTCAAGCCAGGAATTATTACGCTTTAGGAGTTGCAAAGAAGTTAGAAGGATAAAGGAGAATAACTTAGGACACCAAATAACTATTCGTCGTGGTGATAATAGCCTAGGGTTCGGCTCCCTTACGGTTCTGTAACTTTGACTCAGTGACTCGCTTCTCTCAGTACAAAGGAAAGACGGTATTCTTTCTTTTTGGGGCAGGGTCTCGCTCTGTCCCTCAGGCTGGAGTGCAGTGGTGCGATCATGGCCCACTGCAGCCTCTACCTCCCGGGCTCAAGCGATTCTCCTCGCCTCGGCGATAGTTTTTTCATAGATGTTTCTAGTGATTTTTTTGGGGGATGGTGATAGACTGGAAACTTTTAAGAACGTCTTTTCCTGTTTTGAGAATTCAAAAATTTATTTATAGCTTTCATAAAATAGAGTGAAGACTCTTACAGACCTATGTTGGACTAGCAGGCGCCCAGTCTCTGTGGCCCGAGATAGAGCACGAAGATGACAGTGTATATGCATTCTGGTGCTGACGTGGACCGGGAGTGTGGGCAGAGGAATTACTATGAAGAATCCAGAAGACCAGGATGTAAACTCGTCATTCTAATCAACACAGGTGTGCTCCGGGTCTGTGAGACGCGAGGTACTACAATACCAGACACCACTCAGTAGAACAGCTCTCTTCACCTGGAACCCGGACCCAGCTTGATTCGCGGTGCCTGATGATGACTTATCTTTGCTCCTGGCGGTGATTGGTTCGCGTAGAGGGGCGTCGGCCGCCAACGCGACTCGAAACCCGGACCTATGCTCTCGCGAGAGTTAGCGGCCTCCGGTGTGGGATGGCCGAGGAGCCGGGCGGAGCTGGCCTGCGGCTCCCGGGGCCGGCTCTCCGGCCGGAGACATGGCCCGGGGGCCCGGCCCGCTAGGCAGGCCTCGCCCCGATACGGCAGCCACGGTCGCCATGCCCAAGAGAGGAAAGCGACTCAAGTTCCGGGCCCACGACGCCTGCTCCGGCCGAGGTGGGCGAGGGGGGCAGGGGCGCTGAAATACTTTGGGGCTGGCAGCTGGGGGGGCGCAGCTGGGAGGGGGCAGCTGAGGCAGGGCTTGCCTGTTCGCAGCGGGAGGACCGCTCGGTCGCGGGGCCTGCCGCGAGGAGGAGGTCTTGGCGGGGAAACGCTGACGGGAGAAGGCCTCTTTTTTGAGGGTTGGTGCTGTGTTGCAGTGACCGTGGCGGATTACGCCAACTCGGATCCGGCGGTCGTGAGGTCAGGACGAGTGAAGAAAGCCGTAGCCAACGCTGTTCAGCAGGAAGGTGAGCTTTGCGCTAGCCTTTTAAGACTCATGTCGCGATGACAGAACTAGGCATTTTATTTTTTATCTGTTTTTCTTGCAATCCTTTAGTCGTCTTCCTGTAACCGTGTTTACTCTTCTCAATGTTAACTTATGTATTGGGGGTGGGGAAGAATTAGTCAAGAGTAGCAGTTTCTGTAGCAGCAATATTTTCTTACTTTGCATTTAAAAACGTGTTTGCATACTCTAGTTTCCACTGCATTCTTCTTGGATATTAATCCCTTTGCTGTAGTTCATTTATGTTTTACTCTGCAGTGTGCTTCCTTTTTAATAACCTTGGAGTGTTCTTTTCCTTTTCCGGTGTTTCTCTTGCTTCCAGTCTGTTTACTCATGAATCTAAGACTTGTATTTTATGACACCTCTACCTCCAGCTCAGGACCAGGGTTAAACTGGATTCAACTGGTCTCAAACATTTCTCTGTAGAACTTATGGGAATACAAATAATTTTTTATCCTGCAGGGTTTATAGTGGAAAAATTGTGCACTCCTTTTTGCTTCAGGGCTGAAAAAACGAGTCAGTTTCTGCAGCTGTGGAGTCAGTTTGCCCATTGCTTTCCATTTTTTTTTGTATTTAAAATACAAAAATTTTTCTTTTTTTTTGTTGTTGTTGTTGACAGATTCTCACCTTTCTCTCTCAAAACGATGTTTCCCGCCCCCCCTTTCCTGAATGGATGCTGATACCTTGGCTAAGTTTTTGTATTTCTGGGCGGAACTGTGTGCCATTTCATTCTCTTATTTTCTTCTAGTAAAATCTCTTTGTGGCTTGGAAGCCTCTCAGGTTCCTGCAGAGGAAGCTCTTTCTGGGGCTGGTGAGCCCTGTGACATCATCGACAGCAGTGATGAGATGGATGCCCAGGAGGAAAGCATCCATGAGAGAACTGTTTCCAGAAAAAAGAAAAGCAAGAGGCACAAAGGTATGGAGCTTGCTCTCTTTTGGTTTATTAGACCTGCCTGTGGTGACAAATTGAAGCTGTTACTTTCCCAGTAGCACAGGGGAAGATATAAGAGGTGATACCAGGGGAGTTTGAAGAAAACTTGCCTCTCCACAAGAACACTGGTAGTGGGACAGAATTTAATACACCTGGGTTTTTTGCTTTTGTCTGAATTCGAGAGGGAAAGAGATTAGTATGTGTTAGTAGAGTTCCAGAGTTGTGCACTGGACTATAGTAGCCCTTCATTGAGAACATGTTATCAGGTAAAAACCCATATGGCAATGTGAAAACAAAAGGCCTTTGCGTTTCTGGATTTCTGAATGTGTAAGGAAACAGATGTAACCAAAAAATGTTTTCCCAAATATGTGGATTTTTTGTTACAAGTTTTGTTACTCACAGAGTTAGACATTTTCATGGGCTTTTAAGTGCTCTATAATTATTAATGTCTGCTTTGTGTCTAGTAAGTACTGTGGGAAATAGAAAAGTAGGTGATATTTTTTTACATCCTAATAGCAATGAAACTTACACAAATGAAACAAAGAATAATAAACTGATGGTATATAATGTGCCAAACCATCATTCAGATTCTGGGGTTTCCTTCAGACTTAATAAGTCAGAATCTTGAATCTCTTGGAGTAGAACTCAGAATTCTTTTTTTTTTTGAGACAGGCTGCTGGAGTATAGTGGCAAGATCATAGCAGACTGCAGCCTTGACTTCCTGGGCTTAAGTGATTCTCCCATCTTAGCCTTTTGAGTAGTTGGGACTACAGGTGCTGTGCCATCATGCCCACTAATTTTTTCTATTTTTTTGTAGAGACATGGGGTCTCACTATGTTGCCTAGGCTGGGTTTGAGCTCCTGGGCTCAAGCAATCTACCCGCCTTGGCTCTCAAAATGTTGGGATTATAGGTATAAGCCACCATGCTTAGGCCAGAATTTGTAAAGCTAAAGTGGTTCAGATGATCAGCTACATTTAGGTGAAGGCTGATAAATAATAAATGTATATATTTTTGGTCTCCGATTACCAGAACTTTCACCTGAGAATCAGATCATAAATATTTATATTCATCAAAGTATATTCAAATAATAATGAATTAATGGATGATTGCTTTGGAATTATTCCAGTTATTGTTAGTCATAGCCCTCTCTTTCAGGATACAAAAGTTAATAGAGGTTGAGCATTCCAAATCTGAAAAGCTCCCAAATCTGAAATTTTGGGAGCACTGACATGAAGCTGAAACGGAATGCTTATTGTAGCACTTTGGATTTCTGATTTTTGATTAGGGCTGCTCGACCAATAAGTACAGTGAAGGTATTCCAAAATGTGGAAAAAGCCAAAAAGCCAAAATCTGAAACGCTTTTGGTCCTAAGAGCATTTCTCATAAAGGGTACTCAAGCGGTATTGACATTCTTCATACTTGTTCTTAATTTTTCACTTAAAATCCTTACTTATCACCATTCTGTTAGGGATTTATCTGGTTTTTTTGGACATGTTCCACAGAATGGCTTAGACTCAAAAAAAATCGAGATAAAATTTATTCTTTTAAAGTGTACAATTTGGTGGTTTTAGCATATTCACGGAGTTGTGCAGCCATCAACATGGTCTAAGTTTAGAACATTTTCATTACTCTAAAAAGAAACCCCGTACTTATTAGCATCCCTTCTCATTCCAAACCCTCCTCCAGCCCTTGGAAACCAACTAATCTTTGTGTCTCTACAGCTTTACCTATTCTGACATTTCATGTAAATGAAATCATACAATATGTAGCCTTTTGCATCTAGCTTATTTGGCTCAGCATAATGTTTTCAAGGTTCATCCATACTGTGTATGTATCAGTATCTCATTCTTTTTTATTGCTTTTTATTTGGCTGCTATGAACATCCATGGACAAGTTTTTATGTGGACACAGGTTTTTTTTGGTTAGATAGGATTGAAATTGCTGGATTATATGGAAACTCTATGTTTAATTTTTTGAGGAATTGCCAAACTGTTTTTCAAAGTGGGTGCACCGTTTTATATTTCTACCAGCAGTGTATAAGAATTCTAGTTTCTCTATACCAACACTTGTTATTGTCTGACTTTTTAAATTATAATGGATGTGGATTTGTATCTATCTCATTGTGGTTTTGATTTGCATTTCCCTAATGGCTAATGATTTTTGCCCATTTTTAGATTGGGTTATCTTTTTATTATTGAATTGTAAGACTTCTTTATTCAGGTTACCAGTCACCAGATATATGATTTGTGGCTTACCGGCTTTTAACCATAATTCATGTTTTACTTCCTTATTCCACTTTACCTCCATTAGGTTTCTCCATTCCAGTCAGACTGATCTTTTTTTTTTCTTTAAATTTCTTTTTATTTTATTGTTTTAGCAAGTACAGTGTATTTTTCTTCTTCTTTTTTTTAAAGCTTCTTTTTAATGAAAAATGTAGAAGAAGAGAGAATAGTATAACTCCATATAACTGTTACTCAGCTTCAACGGTAATCAACTTATGGCCATGAAAAAGTTTTTTCTCTTTCTTTTTTTAATTTCCATTTTGTTTTTATACACTACCAACCCATGGCCATTTTTACTTGAGCCATTACTCCGCCACCCTATCACTCACACACACGGTTATTTTGAAACAATTTCCATACCATCATCATCTCTATAAATATTTTAGTAGTAATCTCTTTTAAAATTTCATTATCACATCTAAAAGACTTAACAGTAACTTCTCAATGTCATTACCATCTTGTTAGACTTTTCTGTTTACTGTTCTCACATGTTTTGCTTTCTAAGTCCGTTGGTTTCATGTTAGCACTTTATTTACGTGACATGCTTTTCCTCTTAACCTATGCCTATCAAAATTCTTCATGTACTTCATGACTTAACTCTGTGAAGCTTTCCTTTATTGATTCTATTTCCTTCATTTTGAAAGCTCTTAATAATTATGTATAAAACACAATTCTTCATTATTTACTAAATTTTGTCCCTGAAGGCAGAAAATTTTTAATAGCATTCTGCTTTGTAAAAATCCTTATGGGTCTCACTAGAGGAAATTTTTGTTTGTTTGTTTGTTTGTTTGTTTTTTTCCAGACAGGGACTCACTCTGTTGCCCAGGTTGGAGTGCTATGGTGTAGTCTTGGCTCTCTGCAGCCTCGAAATCTTGGCTTGATAAATCCTTGCACCTCAGCCTCCTGAGTCGCCGAGACTACAGGCATGCACCATCATGGCCCCCTAATTTTTAAATTTTTTGTAGAGACTGTGTTGCTCAAGCTCTCAAATTCCTGGGCTCAAGCCATCCTCCCACCTTGGCTTCCCAAAGTGTTGGAATTACAAGCATGAGCCATTTTACTCAGCCACAATCGATGAAATGTTAATAGTTGTTTGACTTCTCTTTCAAAGAGAGAAGAGGTTATGTGGGAGAAAGTGGGGCCTAGACATGGTAGACTGAGTCTTGCATGTTACTGGAGATTGTAAGAGGGATAGGAATCGAAAAGATGATGTTGTTTTAGACATATTGGGTCTCTGTTGTGACAAGCCTAACCAAATAACCTAATCTAATCACAGAGCTGTGGGAAGCAGCTAGAAAAGGAGGGGCAGCTTTGGGGAGGTTGTTAGGGACTTTTTCCTCAGGAAGGAAGAAGGCTGGTTTTAGAATAGTTCTATGACAGTTTGAAATAAGGGTTAGGGTCAGGATTAGCCCAGATTCAGATATCTTTACAGAGCATGTGTATTACCTGAACCTGAGAAGTATAGTGGACATCAAGGTTAACAGAATTAACACTAATGAGTTCGGAAGAAGGAAGAGAAAGGGATACATTGTTAAGGAGTGACTCATTGTCTCTGGATCATAGGTCAGACTGGCAATGAAACAAGGAGAAACTAGAAGGAAAAAAACGTGTGCAGGTAGTTGTGAGTAATGAGAATGTACTCTAACTTACCTGGTTTTTTAAATTTAGTTTATACTTTAAGGTTTCCTTACATCATCTTAAAGTCAATTTTGTTTTTTTACCTGACTGAAAATGTTTAGTGCATGGAGACTTAAAGAGAAACCGAGAGCAGGGCTTAATAGCATAAAGCTGAAATTTGACTGGGTGCGGTGGTCACGCCTGTAATCCCAGCACTTTGGGAGGCCAAGACAGGCGGATCATGAGGTCAAGAGATTGAAACCATCCTGGCCAACATGGTGAAACCCCTGTCTCCACTAAAAATACAAAAATTAGCTGGGTGTGGTGGTGTATGCCTGTAGTCCCAGCTACTCAGGAGGCTGAGGCAGGAGAAGCACTTGAGCCTGGGAGGTGGAGGTTGCATTGAGCCAAGATGGTGCCACTATGCTTCAGCCTGGTGACAGAGTGAGACTCCATCTCAAAAAAGAAGCTGAAATTTGGAGTCAGAAAATCTTGGTTCTGTTTCCCTTGACTGAGTGGCAAGGTTTTGTTTTCTTATTCCATTGAAGAATTATTAGAGTTGAATGATACAATGTGTGCGAAGGCACTTTTGAAACTTCAAAATGATGGCCAGGCGCAGTGGCTCACACCAGTAATCCTAGCACTTTGGGAGGCCAAGGCAGGTGGATCACTTGAGGCCAGGAGTTCAAGACCAGCCTGGCCAACGTTGTGAAACTCCATCTCTACTAAAAATACAAAAATTGCTCAAAGCAACACAGCCAGTTACCAGTAAAAAATAGAAAAACAAAAACAAAACAAAACAAAAAACAACAAAAATTAGCTGGGTGCAGTGGAATGTGCCTGTAGTTCTAGCTACTAGGGTGGCTGCAGGATGAGACTTGCTTGAACTCGGGAGGCAGAGGTCGTACTGAGCCAAGATTGTACCACTGCATTCCAGCCTGGGCAACAGAGGAGACTCTGTCTCAAAAAAAAAACAATAAATAAAAAGTAAAATTTCAAAATGGTATGTCAGTAGTTGTTAAATAAAGGCGTTAAGAATAAAACCTATTTTCTTGGGCAACAGGAGTTAAAAGTTTCTAGTACCTAGGATGAACAGGAAGTGATAGGTTTGTGGGATTTCTGTGGATGTATTTAAAACCATTTCTTAACTGCAATCCTTGGGAGAAATGAAATGATCGAGTATCTTTAGATATGTGTGTAGAAGATCAAAGATTATTCCTTTTTCTGTTTCAGAAGAACTGGACGGGGCTGGAGGAGAAGAGTATCCCATGGATATTTGGCTATTGCTGGCCTCGTATATCCGTCCTGAGGACATTGTGAATTTTTCCCTGATTTGTAAGAATGCCTGGACTGTCACTTGCACTGCTGCGTTTTGGACCAGGTTGTACCGAAGGTGCGACCACAGAGAGCTCACTGTCTTATCTGTGTAGCTGATTTCATTGCTGTTTGTGATTTGGAGCTACTCACTGGATGGTGACCTCTTTTCACTTTCTCTACTCCATGTCTGGGCATGACCCAGCTTTGGACTTCTTGAGCCCCTGTCTGATTTAAATTTGATATTATTAATTGTCCAGGTAATTGTTTTCCATGTGGTTGCCTCCTTTCCCACTCCAGTATCCACTTTTAGCAAAATGTCTCGCTTCAAATCCCAGAGAGAACTCTCTGAATTTTTGTCAGAGGCTTATTTTAGCTAGAATATTCAGAGCTACAGATGCCTATCTGCTCATCTTTTTAGCTGGACTGGTGTTGCTTAGAGTTGCTAGTCATTTTTAAGAATTACACAGTTTTTGTACTTATGTCTCCTATGTATAGTTGTAGTGGTGAGGAGTAAGTAAATTGTGTGATTAGTAAAAGGGCTAGTTTTTGATTCTAGGTGTGGAAGTGTAGGGATGATTGTAAACTGTCAGGCTGTGGTGAGAAGGACTGTTGAAGTAGAAAGGAGTAGAGAACTCATTGTGAGATCTAATAGGAGAGCCTGGCAGTTCTTCATTACAGGTTTCTCCAGTATAGGTTCTTTTTGAGCAATTCAGAATTTGCTCTTTTGTTCAGTGAAAAAGGGAGGACTTTAGCTTTAAAAATGGATGGAGGTGGCTGGACGTGGTGGCTCTTGCCTGTAATCCCAGCACTTTGGGAGGCCGAGGCAGTAGATCACCTGAGGTCGGGAGTTTGAAACCAGCCTGACCAGCATGGAGAAACCCTGTCTCTATTAAAAATACAAAATTAGCTGGGCGTGGTGGTACATGTCTGTAATCCCAGCTACTTGGGAGGCTGAAGCAGGATAATCACTTGAACCCTTAAGGCAGAGGCTGTGGTGAGCCAAGATCACACCATTTTACTCCAGCCTGGGCAAGAAGAGTGAAATTCCATTTCAAAAAAGAAAAAAAAAAAAGATGGAGAACTGCAGGATTACAAGGCAAAGACGTACAAGTTGCTGAAAGTTGCCAAGTGGTCAAGTAGCACTGGGGACAAGCTACCTGCTGGCCAGTGGAATAGTGTAGTAAAGTTCATACAGAGACCAGGAGTCTTAGGAGACTGACCTAGAGCAGGAGAGACAGGTCACATATTGGTAGGAGTAATGTGTCATGTTTCAGGCACTACACGCTGGATGCTTCCCTGCCTTTGCGCCTGCGACCAGAGTCAATGGAGAAGCTGCGCTGCCTCCGGGCTTGTGTGATCCGATCTCTGTACCATATGTATGAGCCATTTGCTGCTCGAATCTCCAAGAATCCAGCCATTCCAGAAAGCACCCCCAGCACACTGAAGAATTCCAAAGTGAGTGAGAATTTGTGTTGGAGTTTGACTAATGGACTCTTGTATGGTAGTCTTGTTATCCTGGCTTGTCTCCAGCTTCCTTGATGGGGAGGGCTGCAGGTCCCAGGCTGCTACGGGACTAATGTAAAATTTTCGGGGCTTAGAGATTTTACCTTTCTAAGACATTTCTGCTGTGCTGGGCTGCCTTATCTTATACTTACCTTAAAGCTTTCTTGTGCTTTTAGTGTATTCCTTATTCTTTTTATTTTAATTTAGCTTTATACATTGGATCACTTTTGATACAATGGTTTTGATGGTTTGGGCTAGGAAGAACACAACTCAAATGGTAGATATATGCTGTAATTTTTAAGAGGTGTTTTAAATCACGGTACAGATACAACATGAGCAGTTCACTGTTTTTCTCTTTCTAATGCAACCTTTACATCAGGGTTTACCCTTTATTGTTGATCGCCTTAAAAGATTGTGGTGTAGACTTGACTTCTGTAGCATTTGGAAGTACCCTGTACCAGGATATTGCCAGGCTCTGGTAGGTCATCTCACAGACTATTAGGTACCCTGATTCATAAACCTTAGTTCTCTCAAGTTCTGTCTGTGTTCTAGGCTCTTTTTATCTCGGGATTTCCTTGATGTTTTATATTCATACATTTATATTCAAGTTTTTGTCATTCTTCCGATTTGTAAATAGGTCTACTAGCCTTTGGTCCATTCTCTCTTTTTCTCCTCCCTGATGAAATTGCTAAATCACCTTTGTCAAATGAGGTTACTCTGTTCCTACCCCAAATTTGATGTTCCATATCATTTCCCATTCTCTCGTTGTTTGTTTTTATGGTATTGGACATTATATAATGATTCTTTACCCCAGTTTAGCTCTAGGGTGATCATATTTTACCTGATACATATTAATTAAAAGGGTACTATTGATTTCAAGATTATCAAGGTTCCTCCCCAGCTTTGTAAATTGAGGTAGTCAGGGCCATTGGCCAAACTCAATTTAATAATCATGCTAACTGGTGGATTTAGAGAAGGAGTAGATTGCTGGGAGAGTAGGATTTCACCTAGCAGCTGCTTCTCCTTGTAATATGAGTTGGACAGTGTATCTTCTCACACTTACAAGTGTCCCTTCCCCCCGAAACATTTGATAGTATCAGATTAACTGTGGTGAGCGTGGGGATCATCCCAAAGTTAGCCATGCCAGGAGTGAATCAATTGCTGGGAGCAGAGCAGCATTGGGCAAACTCCTCATGCTTGACACATCTTAGCGGCTCCAGTGCACAATGCAAGTGCTACTGCCTAAATTCCAAAATGCCCTTATCTTCATATTCTTATCACTGTATGTTACTTTTTTTAAAGTGGACTGTAAAAACCCAAAGTAGAATGAAAATGAAGGTCTTTTTATTTTTTTAATTTTTTATTTTTCTAAGATGGGGTTTCACCATGATGGCCAGGCTGGTCTTGAACTCCTGACCTCAGGTGATCCACCCACCTCAGCCTCCCAAAGTGCTAGGATTACAGGCGTGAGCCACCGCGCCCGGCCGAAAACGAAGGTCTTAATCCAGATAGTAAGCCCAGGCCATCTGGCTGCTGCTTTTATGCCTTGTTAGAGAATTTCTGAAGAGGGTGTGGGGCCTGCAGTGGCAGGTGTCCCATGCATGGCCTTGCCACTTGTATATCCATGATTGCGTGGCATTCAGGGAGTTGCCAGCATGCCTAAAGGAAGTTGTCCCATGTTCCTGGACTCCAGCTTTTCGTATTTGATTCTCCCTCTCTCTCTTTTCAGTAGCATAGCTTGTGTGGGACACTGGAGCCGTTGTGATGGCAGCAGAAGTGTTTTCCCCTTAAAGCCAAGCCCATTAATTTTGATGGAACAGCAGGACGTACAGGGCATGTCTGAAGGGCAGGACAGCTGGCACGGCGGACGACCCACCCCTTATCCCCTGGGAGGTACTTCACTTCTTGTGCTTAACCCTAGCTGTAGCCTGACTTTCACTGAGGGGCTTATTTCTAGACAGAATTCAGCCTAGCTCTGTAGTTTCCTGACTGGCTGTCTGCTCCCAGAAGGTCCTGAGCAGTTTGCTTCTATTACAGGGCCAGCACTCTGCCTACCTTATGGCCTTGTATCATCTTGCCTGGTGGCTGCTGGCTTCCCTTATATTTTAATGTAGAGGATTAGCCTGCTGAATCAGAGGATGCCCCGGTCTCTAGATAACATGTTTCTGTCTTTGAAGATGAGAACAGTAGGGGTTGATGTCAGTAGTCTCTGAGGTTGACTTATATTGGTCCCTCTTCTCCTTATTGAATAGGCTTGGGGTTGTCTATTTTTATGTTGCACCAGTGTCAACTTGGGGGTCTATTTGTGCCAAAGTAAAATCTCAATATTGGGACTGTGGCTGGCTTTAGAGCTGTCAAACAGAAAGGTTTTTGCTGATTATTTTTGTTATAGTGTATTTTGATTTTTTTTTTTTTCTTTTTCTTGGTTTATTTTATTTTTACTTTCTTACAGTGCTTACTTTTCTGGTGCAGAAAGATTGTTGGGAACAGACAGGAACCAATGTGGGAATTCAACTTCAAGTTCAAAAAACAGGTTTGTGGTCTTCTCTTTGTTTTCCAGATAATACCTTGTTCTAAGAGATTTCCATAGGTGTCTTTCTGAGTCTGTTTGTGCACAATAACAGTACCACAGACTCTTGGTAACTTAAAAAGAACAGAAATTTATTTCCTCACAGTTCTGGAGGCTGGGAAGTCCAAGATCAGGGTGCCTGCAGGTTTGGTGTTTGGTGAGGGCCTGTCCTCTCTGCTTCCAAGATGGTGTCTGATTGCATTCTTCAGAGGGGAGGAACACTTTGTCCTCACATGGTGGAAGCCCCAAAAGGGGCTCAACCTACTGTGAAGACTCTTTTATAAAAGCCTTAATTCCATTCATGAGGGAGGGCTCTCCCAGTAGGTCACCTCCTAAAGGCCCTACCTCTTAATACTATTGTGTCAGAGATTAAGTGTCAACGTGAATTTTGGAGGAGACACAAACATTCAAGTCATAACACTAGGCATGAAATTGCCTTACTAAAAGCAAACCAAATACAGCCTTAAAATCCAAAATCTGAAATGCTTCATAATCTGAAACTTTCTTGAGTGCCAACATGATGCTTAAAGGAAATGCCTATTGGAGCATTTTGGATTTTGGATTTGTGGATTTCAGATGCTCAACTGGTATGAATATTCCAAAATCTGGAAAAATCAGGAACACTTCTGGCCCCAGGCATTTCGGATGAGGGATACCCAACCCAAAATGCCATGAAAACAAAAGGTAGGAGGTACTGTTCTGTATTGAAAGACAAGGATAGCAACCTACTGTAAAGAGTAAATCTTGAGTGGATCCTTGATAAGGGAACAAAGCTATAAAAGACATTTTGGGGGCAGTTTTGGAAATCCGAATGTGCTATGGATAGTGTGAAATTATTAATTTTCTTATGGGTGATGATGATAATGTGGTTGTTTGTAAGTGTATTCATGCTGAATTACTCAAGGCTGAAGTGTAAATGTTACTTTCAAATGGCTTTGTACTCCCTTTCCCCCAAAGTGTGTGATTTTTATATACGTATGTGTATACATATATAAAATATGTGTATACATGTATTTTACAAAATATAGACACATATACACACATGTAATTTTATAAGATATTCTCAGCTTCATATATTTAACTATGCTAAAGAAAGCCTCACTAATGGATGAATAAATCAAGGTACTTGTGCAAAGAATACCATCAAAGCTCATTTAAAAAAAATTGGAGGTTGGAGCTGTAAGAGACAGCTTAAAGGGATTTTGATGAGATACTGTTGAGGAAGTCAAGCAAGATGCATGAAACAGTCTGATCCCATCTTTTGTCAAAACACAAAATCTCTAAATATGTGTGTGTAGGTAGGTCTGTATGAGTATGGAATACATGGAGTATATAACCAGGTCATTAGTGTAGCTTAACCTGGAGGGAGGGAGAGGTGTCTACAATAAAAACTTCATGTATGATATAATATCAGTTATACAAAATTATTTAAGAGAGAGAGTATATCCATATTGACAGACATATTAAGAGAACAGTTCCCAAAAGATTAATTGCAGTTACAGGATAGTAGCAGTCTTAAGTTACCTTTACTTTGTCAATATATTTATGTATTATTTAAACTTATTTACCATTAAAAAAAGTTACTTTCATTGTGGAACGGGAACCTCATGTATTTCTGAATGGAAGCCTTAAATACAGAAAAGGCGAATGACATGAACTCTCCAGTTGCCAAGCCAATGAAAATGTTTTAAAACCTGGAAGAAATATGCCAGAGGCACATACATTGTTTACTACTCTAATTACTGGCCAAGCCTTGAACAGTGACAGTGTCACTCAACGGACCCCTGTATTATTAGGTGGAATTATAGTCACCCTAAATTCTTATGTGGAATTATAAGCAAATATGGCAGTAGGTTTATGGATTTTTCTCTCTGTCATTATATATCTAAAACCCATAAACCCATTACTAAGTAGAGGAGACAGTTAAAACACATAGGATAGGGGAGGGATTGATAGAGAAGTGTTTTCACCTGTTTCGTCTACTTAGTATTTCACTGATGAGACACATTATAAATACTATTATTTATTCCTCACGTGACGGCAGGTGGGTTACAGGTAAGTTTGTAATTAAAGTAAACCTTATTTTCCTATTGATTTATTTCAAAAAGATGGTTCGGGGAAGAATTTTAGTTCTGATATTTTGCATTTACTAAGATCTGCACAGTCTGTGGTATCCATTAGATGCTGGTAGAAAGTCCACCATACACCTTTCTGAGAAGGGATTGAGAGTGAGTCTTCAGTGTTGAAATGTGACTAGAAGCAGAAACCAGGATTACTGGAGGAAAGTGAATGGTGAGGCTTCCGTTAGTTCCGAGACTTGTGATTCCTTTGTTTTATGGTGTCTGGAAATAGGTGGCCTAATCTGCTTCCATCCCTTTTGTGCAGAAGATGTTCTTTGGAGTCTGACAAGTTACAAGGAATTTGCAATCTTGCAAACATTGTAGAACCTCTGGTAGAGGCTGTAAGTTTCCATTTCTTGTCAAATGGCCAGGAATACCATCTAAACGAAGCATAAACCCATTGACACATTTGCTCATCCAAATGTATTTCCCCTTCTTTCAAAGGGCAGATTTTCTTTGACCTTGATATAGAATCATATATATAAAGAGAGGAGACGACAGTAAAATGTATCTTACTAGCTTTTATTGAGCCATAGGATTTTCTTTGGTGGACTCTTAGAGCCATATACATTTCTTCTAAGCCATTGGATTAATTCTCAGTTCTCTTCAGTCCCCTAGGTTAAAGAGCAAGTGTACAGGAGGATTGCAGCCTCCCGTTCAGTATGAAGATGTTCATACCAACCCAGACCAGGACTGCTGCCTACTGCAGGTCACCACCCTCAATTTCATCTTTATTCCGATTGTCATGGGAATGATATTTACTCTGGTAAGTGGGGACTCAGGATGTCATTCTCAGCTCCTTTTTTTTTTTTTGTCATTCTGAAAGGAGATGAACTACAGCTCTTTTTTTTTCTTTATTTTTTTAAGAGACACGGTCTCTGTCACTCAGGTTGAAGTGCAGTTACAGAATCATAGCTCACTGCAACCTCAAACTCTTGGGCTCAAGCTATCCTCTTGCCTCAGCCTCCCAAGTAGTTAGGACTTCAGGTGCACGCCACCACCCCTGGCTAATTTTTGTTTTTTGTAGCAGTGGGTGTCTCACAGTGTTGCTGAGGCTAGTCTCAAACTCCTAGCCTCAAGCAGTTCTTCTGTATCTGCCTCGCAAGTGTTCAGATTATAGGCATGAACCACTGCCTTCAGCTCTTAGAGACTTTTGCTACATCTGAGGTTTGAGAGGTATTTGTAAATTTAACTGTGAAGGAAGATATCTTCTTTTTTAAAAAAAAGTTTGAAATCAGTCCTGTATATTAGGAACAGACAGATTTGTGGAGACATTAATTATATCTGAGAATATTTTACCTTTTTTCTTTCTTTGTAGGAAAGGGAATGTTTTTGTATTTTCATGTGTAGTGATCATTAATGATTGAGAAACTATAGGAATAATGATGAGATACGTACATGAGCACTGTATGTCAGGATCTTGAGGCATGCGTATGGGGTTACAAATGGCTATTAAAATATAGGGTGATCAGGTCAGCTCTGTCCTTTGTGTCATATTGTCACTGTTCAAGAGGCTTGGCCAGTCATTTAGACTAGTAAACAATGTATGTGACTCTGGCATATTTTTCCCAGGTTTTAAAAATGTTTCACTGGCTTGGCAACTGGAGAGTTCATGTAATTTGTCTTCTCCATATCTTAGGCTTCCGTTCAGAAATACATGATGTTCCCCTTCCACAATGAAAGTAGCTTTTTTTAATGGCAAATGACTTTAAATAATACCTAAATTTACTGAAAAAGTAAAGGTGATTTAGACTTCCATTGTCCTGTAACTGCAATTAATCTTTTGGAAACTGTTCTCTTAATATGTCTGTTAATATGTGTATACTGTCTCGCTCTTAAATAATTCTGTGTAATTGAGATTGTGTCATACATGCAGTTTTTTTTTTTTTTTTTTTTTTGAGACAGAGTCTCATTCTGTTGCCCAGGCTGGAGTGCTGTGCCGTGCTGTGCTATCTTGCCTCACTACAATCTCCATCTCCTGGTTTCAAGGGATTCTCTTGCCTCCACCTCCCAAGTAGTTGGGATTATAGGTGCCCACCACCACAACCAGCTAATTTTTAAATTTTTAGTAGAGATAGTGTTTGGGCAGGCTGATCTTGAACTCCTGACTTCAGGTGATCCGCCAGCCTCAGCCTCCCAAAGTGTTCATTAGTGAGGCCTTTAGCCTAGTTTAAACATGTGAAGCTGAGAAGGCCTTATAAAATTGTCCTTAAATTTTTATATCTTTACAAAGGTTGACTGGGTGTGGTTGCTCCCAGTGTAATCCCAGCACTTGGGAGGCCGAGGTGGGGTCGTTTGAGGTCAGGAGTTTGAGACTAGCCTGGCCAACATGGCGAAACTCTGTCTCTACTATAAATACAAAAATTAGCCAGTTGTGGTGGTGCACACCTAAATTCCTAGCTACTTGAAAGGCTGAGGCATGAGAATCGTTTGATCCTGGGAGGCAGAGGTTGCAGTGAGCTGAGATCCCATCACTGCACTACAGCCTGGGCAACAGAGTGAGACTTCCTCTCTTTCAAAAAAAAAAGTGTTGGTGTTATAATTTAGAGATTAATCTTGTGGCCTAGCCAGGGTAAATTAGTTTGGATTATTTCATTTCAGAGTGAGCTGTTGGGAACCAAGGTTGTGTAAGTTGGATACTGAATTTGCTTTTCCATTTCAGTTTACTATCAATGTGAGCACGGACATGCGGCACCATCGAGTGAGACTGGTGTTCCAAGATTCCCCTGTCCATGGTGGTCGGAAGCTGCGCAGTGAACAGGGTGTACAAGTCATCTTGGACCCAGTGCACAGTGTTCGGCTCTTTGACTGGTGGCATCCTCAGTACCCATTCTCCCTGAGAGCATAGTTACTGCTTCCCATCCCTTGGAAGCAGCCCCGAGTCTAGTCCATTAGTAATCAGATTCGGGTTTCGAAGGGGCAGCTGGAATGTATATCTGGTTAGTAATGCACATGCTCTTCAGGTTTTAGGGCTCCTGTTAGGGGAGGGAGAAATGTTGAATCAAGAGGAAAAATAACAACTATAATTTATGAACATATTCTAATGTAAAAATTTGCATTTAAAAGGAGTGGCCCTGTTTTCTGTGTTAAAACCCCATTTGGTGCTATTGAGTTTGTTCTTTATTCTTTTATCCCAGTGAAAATTGTTGATCTTGCTCTAGGGAAAAATTAAACTGAATCTCCAAACAAGCAAGTTTCAGCATTCCCTTACGATCAGAGGAACTTTAGAGGCCTGAAATTGTTGCTTCCAGTTTAGCTCCCCCTCAAATTCAAGTGAATATTTTCTCCCTTTACCCTTCTCCAGAAATAAAGCAGGTGACAGGGTTTTCAGAATCTTACCAGATTGACTTGTGTATCTTTTTTAAAAAATAATTTGTAATATTTATTGCATACATTTTCTTTTGCCAGTTTGGATTTTAGGTATTTTTTTTGCATGAGGCTGATAGTGGTGATGATGACTTTATTACCCTTGGTACTATACTAGGAACTTTACATAGTATCTCTACTTCTCACAGTCTTGCAAGGTAGGTGATAATATTCCCATTTTATGGTTGAGAAAACAGAATCAGTGACTGTACCTGTAGCACCAGGAAATGCAGAGCTAGGATTCTGACCCAGGTCTTTTGTTATACCATAATTTAAAAAGATGCGTCTCATTTTTCTTGTGGTAGATGGTGGTAAAAGGGAGTAGGCAGAGTGTACATAGATAAAAAAGTAAAAGGGTAAGTAAAAAGTTGATTGTGGTATACCTTATTCTAATCAGCTTAAAAAGTATAGAAGATGATGAAATGATCTTTTAAATATGTATTTCTGAGTAAAATGTAAAACAAACCAAGAATGTTATTTCAGGAAGGATGGTGACACTTGCACTGAACTGTTAGAAAGGCATTTATTATGCTAAAAAATCATTAACAAAATGCATTGCATGTTGAAACCAGCCTCTCGAACCATAAGCACTTAGCGACTTTGCTCTGCCCTGTATTGTGCTGCTTCTGCTGCCATCCTGTGTGCCTACAGAAGCCTGGCCTTCCGTCCATGCAGAAATGCTTATGCCTTCCTGTTGTTCAGATGACTCCTGTCGTTCAGGTGTACTCTGAGAAGAGGATCACAAATGTCTTTTTGTTTTGCTAGGAAGAAAACCTTGCTTCTTTTCTCTCCTCCCACCCTCTGCTATACAAAATTAATCAGTAAACTGGGTATTACCTGGATATTGCCAGGAGGTGGGCATTAAGACAGTATTCTTTAAAAATGAAAATCTTTTGGAGGAAAATCTTGTGAGGCAAACTGCTAAATTGTGTGTGTGTGTGTGTGTGTGTGTGTGTCTTGTGAGGCAAACTGCTAAACTGTGTGTGTGTGTGTGTGTGTGTGTGTGTGTGTTTCCTTACCATCTTCCCCAGGAATATTCTTAGAAAGCATCTGCTTAATTTTGCTGCTAATAGTTAACCTTATCCCACATTGAGGGTGGTATTAAAACTGTTCACACAGAGAGAGAGCCTGGGTCAGCCAAAAACAGAACTTGGGCATTTAAGTGATAACAGACAGAAAACCTAAGGACAATGAGCACTTTGCAGATCTCTACAATCAAAAGTTGCCTCTTTGAGGCAGGAGGAGAGAAGCACAATCCCTGCCTGGTTGCCTGAACTAAAGATGCCGTGGAGCAGGAGCGTCTTGGTGCATTGTTGTCCCCGCTTAGGAGTACCTTTAAAAAGGGGGTGAAATAAATTTGGCTTAATAATTGTATTCTGACTCAGCTCTGAGTTTTTTGTGTCAAATTCCATAGTATGGTGACACAGTACTAGATGCTGCCTCAACTCTTAGCACAATATTGACAAACACTTGGTAAAATGTGTTATCAGTAGTTATCCTGACTTCAGCCTTCCTCTGCATTGGCTGAGTTGCCTTTTCTAGCATGATGCATGCTTTATTAGTGACAGGATGTGAAGTGTCTCAGGGATTTCCTTTTGGTGAGGATCCTAGACCACCTGAAGAAGAGTTGGAACTTTCTGGACTACAGGTTAAAAACAGCTTTAAGTTATAAAGCTTTATAACTTAAAATTATATATATATAATATATATATTTATAACTTAAAATTATATATATATATAATATATATATTTATAACTTAAAGCTGTTTTTAACCTGTACCATGATTTTGCTCTTTTAGCCAAACAACATACAGGTGATTGGAACACTGTGAGAGTTTGGGGTGCAGACCTCACACAGTTAAAAATCTGCTATAATCTTTGACTCCCCCAAAACTTAATAGCCTACTGTTGACAGGAAGCCTATTGATAACATAAACAGTTGATTAATGTGTATTTTGTATATGTAGTATATACCTTATTACAGTAAAGCTAGAGAAAAGAAAATGTTACTCAGAATATCATAAAGAAGAGAAAATATATTTACTGTTCATTAGGTGTCTCATTATGTTGAGCAGGCTGATGAGAAAGAAGAGGAAGGGTAGGTCTTGCTGTCTCAGGGCTGTTGGAGAAGGAAGAAAACCTGCATATAAATGGCCCTGTGCAGTTCAAGGTCCTGTTCAAGGGTCACAAATTTAGCTTCATGTATCACCCCTGAGATCAGAATTACCCAGATTTCTCTGTCTTCAAAGAGAGGCAAGGAAATTATGCCAAATGGTGAATTATTGGGTGGAAAATAAATGAGAGAAGGTTGTATGTGTCATTGATCTCAACTATAGCATTTGCTGCTGATGTAGAACATGCTGTGTATATATCTATAAATACATACACATGAACACATTGCATGTATATAAAAAACGGTTCACACTTTTAGTGGTGCTTACTGGGTATTGGTAAAGGATTGTGTAGGCACTGTGATGAAACTTCACAAAGCAGATGGAAAAGATGCATTAATAGCCACAGGGGGCAGGGTAAGGGAGCAATTGAGGAAAATGGAGAGGCTTAGCTAAAATTTGTCAGTCAGAAATTTTGGCATTTGAGACTTGTTTTCATACTATGTATATGTAATAGACAAACCCTTCGTTTTGTAGTAACAGTGTTAGAACAGCCAGGTGCCTGAAGGCAAGCGACACAATTCACTGAAGTGCATACTACAGATGTAGTATCTGGATATCGACTTTCCCCACTTTAAAAATGGGTGCGATCAAAGGAAAAGCAAGTAATGGGCAGGAGAGAGCAAGTGTGAAAGGTGACAAACCATTGACAACTACAAGGCTGAGACTAAGGCCAATTTAGGGAACAGGCTGTTAGACTAGGAACAGGGGTGAGTTCAGAGGGAGGGGCAGAATGTCGCAGCACTCCTGGGCCCTCGGACCCTCCTGCGGGGTAAAACTCTGGCACTCCGCCACCTCCTCGGCCTCCCGAGTCCTCAACCAAGATGGCGCGCAGCCTCAAAGCGGCGCTCTCGTCACGTGTCGATACTGGAGGCGCTCGGGGGCGGGGGGCGTGGCTTTGGGAACAGCGGTCCGGCCCCGCCCAGGGGGCGGAGCCCGGTGGGGGAGTCCGCGGAGGGAGGGGGCGGGGTCTCGCGGTCGGGCACTTGGGCGGCGGAGGCTGCAGCTACCTCGGCGCCGGCTCGGCTCTAGGACGTGTCGGGCTGCCCTGGTCGGGGTCGGCTCCCTGCTGCCTCCGAGCCTAGCCGCCCGGCCTTCGGCAGTTGCAGGCAGGTGAGCGCGCAGAGCCTGGACTGGGGTAGGATGCGTCTTTTCCCCACCTCCAGCTCCCCTCGACAGTTTGGGGAGGGGTCTCGTCTATCGCGCTTCGGGAAACAGCCCTTTTGGACTCCGTCTGTGCTGTCTCCGGCAGACGTCGGTACTGCTACCCCCACCGCCCCTCGCCGGCCTTTGCGGTGCCCTGTGCCCTTGGGGGTGAGGATGGGGGCGATGCCCGATCTGCGGGGAGGGCGTGGAGTGCGCCCTCCGCTCCATCCGCTTCTGGGAAGGGGGCCGAGTTGGCGAGTCTCCGGTGGGAACCGAGCAGACTGCGCCCCCATTTCCCCTCCAGGAGAGTCAGAAAAAGCACCTCCTGGCTCCGGGGCCAGCCCCACTCCTTTGGGCACGAGCTTCTGAGGGTCTGAGGTCTTCGCGCTTCGCGGGGGTCTTAATTCTTCCCGCGTTCCTCATAGCACCCCTGTTCCTGTCGCTAGCTCTCCATTCCTCGAACTGCCAGCCTCAGTCTATGCCAGAGATGCCCCCATCTCCGCAGTGCCAGGGCGGTGGGGTGGAAGGAGCGGCCAACCCGAGGCCTGTTGGGGGTGGGGACAGGGGTGGGCGCAACAGGAAGAGAGGGCTGGAATAGAGATGCCTGAGCTAGAAGGGTGGGAGGGGAGCACTGACTTACGTCCACGCAGTAGAGATGTTTTCCAGCACAAATCTTGAGGTTTTGATGGTGGGTGGGGAGAGAGAGGTCGGGTTGGAGGACTTGGAGACATAGTGTGGGTGGTTTTTTTTTTTTTTTTTTTTAAGGAGGAGGGATCCAGGACAAGGTGCCACTAGGAGCTGATGTCACCTTTGAGGTGTACTGGTAGTTTCCATGAGAGGAGTAGGAGAGCTGGGGCATTCTGTGTGGAAAGCAAGTGGTTAAGGAGGCTCTGCTTAGCAGGGAGATCCCTCCTGGTGTGCGCTTAAGGGCCCCCTCCAGCAGCCAGGTTTCAGGGATTTCCCATGGTCCTTTCCAGAGTTGTTGGATCTGGTACCTAGTACTTTGTTCAACATCCAGCAAACATTTATTGGACACCTGCTATATGCCAGATACTATGTGCTACGTCTTCTGAAGGCATTTATAGCCACGGAGCAGCTAAAAGGTACACATAGTAGGCACACAGACTAGGTGTTCTGTTAACACCTCCCTTTCCCCCCAGCCCCCATTCTGTTACATTGCTGTTGGAGTAGAAAAAGAAAGAACTGTGTCCATGTGCTTTTAAACAGCTGTCTGAACGAGACGCCAACCCACACACCCCTTACCAGTATTAACTGGCCAGATAGTCCAGGGAAGCTGCCTAGGCAAAAGGGCAGCTTGAATGATTTCCCTTGGTTATTTTCTCAGATTTTGTCCTGAGGCTTGTGGAGGCTTCCTGGGTAAACAGTATCTCAAAGCAAAGAGATAATGCATGGGAAAATGGTTACTGGGGGCTAAGAATGCCCTGGACACTCTGCATAGTGGGAGATGCCATCTCTGGAAGATGGAAGAATGTGGGGGAGGAGGGCGGGGAAGGGAATTCTCATGCAGTGGGGTGGGGGTGTGTGCTGCTGAGCATGTCATGATGTCAGAACCGTGCAATGCATGAGGTCTGGCTGCTGGGTTGTAAAGGAGGTCTGGAGGGGCAGGGCATGGCAGGCAGCCAGGTTCCTGGGTCTCATCTCTGAGTTGATTGTTGAAATCTTAGAGTTGGAAAGAGTTGTCAGGGATGGCTTGTAGGTCCTCATGGAGCCTCTGAGGATGGCAGAGCTAGAGCTAGGTATGAGTACCAATAGTCATGCTGTGGTGGTGATGAGGTGGGGATGAAGGCTTAGCAGGGCTGGGGAGCTGAGTGCCAAGGGGGTTTTAAGATATGGGCAGCTAGCGCCGAGGCCTTTGAATGCCAAGGACATTCTCCCCTGGGCTTTAGGCCCTACTGTGTTGGCTCCATAGGTGAGTTGCTTTAGAAACAAGGTTGGCAACTGAGTGGTATGGAGGGGTGTGTGTGTGTGTGTGTGTGTGTGCATGCATGCATGCATGCATGCGTGAGTGTGTGTGTTTGTGCATGTGCTGGAGAGGAGGAGTGGTGAAGAGCAGGGAGGACTGAGAGAGTGAAAGCTGCCTCAGAGTCTGGGTCCCACGTAGGGAATTGAGAGAAATGGAGGAGAGGGAGTGGGGTTGGAGGGAGAGACAAGTGTGTATTGCAGCCACATGAAGTCACCATCTGTCCCCCTCTGGCCTGCTAGCTCACTGACCTATAATTAGCTCTGGAGGGCATACGGTGCTGGCTCACAGGAGTGTGGCACTTCGGGTGGCCAGCAGAGTGGAGGACTCAGAGGGACCCTTGATGTACTGTGGAAGGGGCTGCTTCGAGGGGACCCTCTGCATTTGCTATACTGAAAGGGGCCTGAGGCAACTGAGAATATCACTGGGATAGGCCTGGTGGGGGAAACAGCAGTGGGGAAAGGAGCTCTAAGCAAGGATGCAGGAGACTCCAAGACTGGGCTGAGCCTGAGGCCTCCCCTCTTCTTGTCACCTGGCTGCTGACCCACCATGCAAGAAGCATGATTGCTGCCCAGCTCATGGCTCTGCCTTCAGAGAAGCGTGGGTGCTGCAACCTCGGGGCCTCCTTCAGGTGTCTCTGTTCCCCTGGGTGAAGTAGCCACCTGCCTTTCACTTGGTGGTTGAGAGGCCTTGGCTGAGGCTGCTTCATTCCGAGAGAGCTGGAGTAGAAGCTGCCCCCAGTGAATTCAGTTGGTCGTACTTCAAGTGGTGCTCAGCACTGACCCCCCGGCTGTGCCAGAGACTGAGTGTTTGGCCACATGCGTCTCTGTACTGCTTTCCAGTGATTACATGTGTATCTGTGTTCTCTCAAGTAGCCTGTGAACCTTGTCTTACATGTCTCTTGCTTTTGTAACAGTATTGGATGCACGGAAATCACTCAGTATGTGATCGATGGATTGAATTGAAGAGGTCTGTCTTCTGATCCCCTGGGTTCCATGAAACAGGGCCTCCTCACTACTGGAGATATTTAACCTGGAGCAGGGAAGCCTCTGGGGACCCGGGACACTGGTGTTACATCCCTGTGGGGGCATTAGATTCTGTAGGCAGTAGATGAAGTGAAAGCCCCCCCCCAGTCTCTCATAAAGCATGGCGTACGGGTTTGTAACTCTAAACTATAGTATGAATGTATAGATATGGTATGTACATATTCTACATTAATTACATAAATATATGCTGTATATACTATTGTACAGTGATGTTACAAAGAGTACATATGCATGGTATGATTTTGTAGTGGAGTGTCAGGTGAAATAGCTGATTTGATTTTAGAGGCCTTTATTGCTTATTTCGCCCAGGCAGTAGAGTTGAATTCTCATAAGTTAGATATATACTTGATGTGCCTTCATGGCCGCTGTCTTCAGATGGATAACTCTCATTTCAAAGAGAGAAGGGTTTCCATTCACTTTAAGAAAAAGCTTCCTTAGAATGACGAAGCCTTCCTCATTTGGTAGTGAGCTCCTTGTTCCTGAAGGATAATAAAGACTGGGCTGCCAGGGATGTTGTGAAAGGAACCTCCACACAGGGTGGGAGGTGGCCTGTGTGACCTCAGAGATCCCTTCTGAGTCCAGGTATGGCATGTGATCTGGATAGGAGAGGGCCTCAGCAGATGGCTCTCCTTTGGCCTAGAGGAGTGCTGCTAAGCGTGGAGGCCTGGGGAGTGAGGCTGGGCCTGAGCTGTTCCATGAGAAGTGGGCATTTTGGAACATGCAGGGGGGTGACCCAAGCAATCTCATGGCATGGAGGCCTGGGCTTGGGAGACGCTGCAATGCATCCCCGATGGGTGGGGGTAGGTAGAAGGATGGGATGGCCCCAGTTCCATGACCACAGCTCAAACTAGGCTAGTTGCGGAGTGCCCCAAATTTTTGGTCCTGTTTGAGGCAGAGCACCTGGAGCAAGTGGAGCTTTCATTCTTTCATTGTCACCCCATCCCTACCTCCTCTCTCGCTCATAGCTTCTCACACAGGTTGGAGGCCTCATATGGACTTAAGCTGTCTCATAAGTGTCTCAAGACCAGAGATACACTTTCGTAATTACACATGCATAATTGCACAAGCTCTCACAGCCCCCATGTGCTCCTGTGAGCATGCATGTATGAAGTTATGAATCCCAGATGCTTGTGCATGTATGACCATATGCATTTACTGTCATGGCTGTGTACTCGCACATGTGTTCTCATAAGCACAATTATATGCAGTCTGAGCCTTGATGTACGTATAACCACACACATCTACACACTCTCATGAGTATATCCACCTACTCGCCCTCATGCCTGTGCTCTCAGGACACCATACTTAGGACCATACCTTTATACACAGACATATACACACAAATACATACTCTCTCTCTGCCCCTTTCTCCCTCTCTCTCCCTGTCACCCAGTCTGGAGTGCAGTGGCATGATCATGGCTCACTGCAGCCTTGACCTCCTGGGTTCAATTGATCCTCCCACTTAAGCTTCCCGAGTAAGTGGGACTACAGGTGCATGCCATTGTGTCCAGCTAGTTTTCATATTTTTAGTAGAATTGGGGTTTTGCCATGTTGCCCAGGCTGGTTTTGAAGTCCTGAGCTCAAGTAATCTGCCGGTCTTGGCCTCCCAAAGTGCCACTGTGCCCAGGGCTTGTGCCCAGGGCTTATGCCCAAGGCATGAACTACTGCACTGGGTTCTCTTCCTT